TCTAATGGGGATTGAATCCTCAACCTCAAGGCTGAAAGGTACAATATTTCCCTCTAGACCAAACTTAGCTTAGTTAGAAATGTCACGTGTTAGGCGAAAATAGTTGTTGTAAACCTTGTAGTACTCTAATACTCCGTATATTACAACGACGATACTTGTAGAGTTGTAGATGGTAAAGTAATAATTTTATGATTTCTAACCTACAATCTCTCTAATGAAAAGGCATAATCTCTTATAGCTTTAGTAGGGTTTCACATGACTGATTTACACTATCTTCTACCATGATTTACGAAGTACTTCGTATAAAGTAGCAGCAAGTAACAAGAGTCAATAGAGGTGTCAAAACCACACTCGAGTCGACCCGATTCAAAACTGACCTGAAAAATATCCGATTAAGATTTAGACTTGCGTGTACATAATAATTTAGCATGACTCAATTTTAAAAATTGATCTGACCCGATCGAATCAGATCCAATCCAATCCGATCATCCGAATTGACACTCTAATCAAGAACGTGAGGTAAGGAGTCTAGGGATTACAAACATGTTTTTGTGCATTTTCGGTTGTTTGCTCGTCAAATAAGAAGCTACATCTTCTATTACCACCATGTAGCACAATTGTTCAATCAATACTCTCCTCTTTTTCCACAAACTTATACGAAGTATAGCTTTCTACAACCATATGGTTTATCCAAGCTAAAATTTAACTCCCCTGACACTGATCTAGCATATGTGTAACTCTAATTATTTATTTGCAAGCAAGGACCTCAAAGGCAATGTTGTTGTTGCTATAAGAGATAGGTACATGACAAAATAGAATGGAAAAGATAATAGAATGGCTTGTTTATTATTGATCATTAGGTAGAGCATTTATACAAAATTTAAGCTTATAAGATAGGAAACAATCTTTCTAAAACATATACTAGTCTAACCATAAATCTTAAATATATATTCTCTAAATAATATTTTAACATAAAATAAACCTAAATATATTATTCTCTTAATGATATCTACGGAAAATATATCATACATATATTTTTCGATATCTCATATCTATAACAGTATCTGAGGAATATTATATGTTTTAATGTGAGTAAGAGGAACTATTAGAGCATTCCCAGCAGTGAGGGAAAAACTCCTCACGAGGAGAAATAAGGGTTGAAAAAGAAAAAAAAATGCTTCACACTAGTGAGGAGTTTTAATTCTCCTCATGAAGAGAACAAGAACCTCTCAAGTGTTGAGGAGTTCTGGAAATGAATAGTGCAGCAGCGGGACCCATAAAAATGCTAAAAGTAATTTTATAACGGCTATAAATCATTTTTTTTTTTAAAAAAAAAAAAGTTAACCCATGATCATAAATTTTTTTTTCTCTGTAAATAGACATCCATTTTCATATATTTTGACATATTTTCAAAAACAAAAAAAATATCCTATATTCATTAATCACTCAATTAAATTTAAAACGTAATTAACTAAACTAAAAATAAAAACTTATGAATTTAATTACATTTTAATTGTATTGGAAAGTTAAATATATAGTATAAACATTATTAAAAAATAAAGAGAAAATAAAAAAGGTGATGTGTAGTATGATGGGGTATAGTAAATAGTGGAGGATAAAGTGATGAGGAGTTTTTTTTTTAGCATTGATGTAGTAAGAAAAACCTCTCACGAGAGGAATTGGATGAAAAGAGTGAGAAAGTGGGTAGAGAGAGATTGAGAGGTTTTTTTTTCTCCTCACTGCTGATAATGGTCTTAGTTGCAAAAATATGTAACTATTATAATGAAACAAAGAAAATATGTTTCTTTAAAAAGAAATGTAACTATTACCCCCTCCGTCCATAATACTTGACACAATTACCATTTTCGTCCGTCCCAAAATACTTAACACGTTACTAAATATGGAATGGGATCACTAAAAAAAAAAATCCTATGCTCCCTTTGGGACCACAAACTTCAAAACTCAATTAAATCCTACATTTTCTCTCTCCTCACTACCCCTACTTCCCCTACTTTTTATTTTATTACAATATAAAAATAAAAAAGAGAATCCTTTATATAATAAACAAATATTTTAAATAGACCAACTTGTAGTTTTCTAAAACTACCTGTCCATCCAAACGTCCCAAGTATTATAGGATGGAGGGAGTATAATGAAACAAAGAGAATTTGTTTCTTTTAAAAAAAAATGTAACTATTATAATGAAACAAAGGGAATATGTTTTAATGTGAATAACTATTAGTTGTGAGAATAAATATTAGGAAAATTATCATAACAATTGTTTAAGGTGACAAAGAGAAGCTGCTAAAATGCGCAATTGTTTAAGATCACAAAGAGAAGCTGCTAAAATGGTAAATGAAAATTCAATAGCTACTTCAATTCTAATACTTTCTCCGTTTTTTATTTTATTGCATCATAGGGTTTTGGAGGCAAAATTTGGTAGTGGAAATAAGTAAGAGAGAGAAAGGTAAAAATACAAAATTGTCCATGTAATGTAAGATAAAATAAAAAGTAAATGTGAAAAAGTAAGAGTATGTTGGGTATTTGCAGTGTGAACATAGATATTTTTTATCCTAAAAAGGAAATGATGCAATAATAAGTAAATTTCCTAAAGTAGTAAATGATACGATAAAAAAAGAACGGAGGAAGTATAAAATTGATAGCCTTTGAGAAGCATTGGTTCAAAAGATAAAAGTTAAAATCCACAATCACATAACCTTAACTCTTTTCTTTTCTTTTCTTTTTAAAAAAAAAAAATTGAAATCGTTAAGAGTAATTGTTACCTTAGGTAGATTGTAGAGTAGTAACAATTAACAAATATGTGGAAACATTTAGGTGGTGTTTGGTTGGAGGATAACTTTCATGGAAATGAATTTCCTAGGAAGTATTAAAATGAAGGTGTATTTGGTTGGAGTAAAATAAGGTAAACATGGAAAATAACAATTCCAAGGGAAATACAAATTCCCACAACCCATAGGAAATTAATCACCAACTCCCCCCTTGGTGAGTTGAATTTCCTAGGAAAATCATAAGGGAAAAAATTTCCCATGAAATATAAATTCCCATGTAAACCAAACGAGCACTTATTTTAGAGATAATGGTAATTAGTACTCAAACCTTTTAACCAAACACTCGATAACAATAATGGTTTACTTGAATTTGTTTCCAACCTTAAAAAAAATTTACTTACTAAACATGCTCTAAAGTCGTCCACTTCATAAGACCAAAGGGGGTTCCATTCCAAAACCATATGGCAATAGGAGGAGTAGCCCCTTAGCCTTATAAAGTATTTAACTCTTTCTTCTTTTATCAATATGAGACTCTTAAATGTGTTATTTGATGGGATATTCTTCAACAAGCTTCATGTCATAAGGAAATAAAAATATAGCAACAAAAGAAGAGAGGCATCATATTTAACAATTATTTTTCTTCCTATCATCATATCATTCATATGTGATCTTTAATCAATCATCTAACTGACTAACTGATAGATTAATTAAGCTATTGATAAATAATACGGAGTAGCACTTCATTTTATTAATTTATTATATATAAGTCCACTTATTAAAATATTCTGCTATGCAACGAACTTTGGTCGTTAGTAGGTATATTTGTTGAGCTCTTTATACTTTTTAATTTTCTTAGGAGACCACTTATCTAAAGTTTTTTCTAATTAATTAATTAGGGAAGATTATTTACTGATAAATAAGTATAAAGATCCCGTCAAAATAAATAAATAAAGACAGGTGCATTTCCGGTTTCCAAAAAAAAAAAGACAAGTTTATTTCAATGATAATGACACGATGCATGACACACAATTTTATTTATTTATTTTATTTTATTTTATTATTATTTTTTTATAGTATTGTTTTTTTTTGGTAGATAAGAAAAACTTCGTACCAATTTGGAACTTTTCACAAGTCAATCCGCATCGGTTTAACGAGTAAGGTATTTTGAGAGTAGGAGAGAAGGTTAATGAATCCTTACCGTCAAAGTATCTTTATTGAGAATTGTACCCTCTAACTTTAAGGTTGAAATAATCTTTCCTTATAATATGCCAACACTTCATTAGTGAATGACACATAGACATGTCACACATACTTCAAACACATGTATGAATGCTCAAACCCGTGTTGGCTTATTGTTAATAATTATATTTTAAATAAATCACTTACATTATTACTAAGTCTTATACTTGTATTTTATTTATTTACGTAGTATTTGTTTGAATATGTACATATGAGTCCAAGGATATCCTAAAATAATGTAGCTAATTGTAGGATGACCCTTCGTCTCTTCCAAATACTCTACTTTAGGCAAGCATCAAACCTTCATTACCCACCATCAAATGAAATACTGACTAAGTATTGGCCTAGTGGTAGAAACAAAGACAGGGACTTTTCACTAGAAAAAGAAATCCATGAAAGCCCTTTCAAAGTTAAACATTGGATGCTAAGAAATTAGACTAAGGAGAGTGGAGAAAGAAATAAGTGTTTTTCGAGGCTTTTATTATCTTTCAAAAATAAAACATCTCATTTCTAATAAAAGTGTAATTCACCTTTATTATTTTTTTTATTCATTAACTTTTTTTAATTTATCTTTAATCAACCAAAGCTTTAATTTTTTTTAATTCACCTTCAATTTTTTAAAACTTACATTAAAGCCTTATACTCGGTAAGAAAAAACATTAATTTTAATAAAGGATTTAATTTCATTTTAATAAAATAAAATTGATTAACAACATTTAACATTGCTTGCATCTAGTTTTGAACATTTCAAGTTCTATTGATTTATAACTTTGCCATAGAGTTGGGCATATGCTTGATTGGGCTGCACCATAAGGGCTAGTCAGGCACAACATGATAATAACCCTACATGTGGTAGGCTCGGTACAGCATGAGAGACATGCCCATAGATCATAGCCTTATGGGCATATTTTCAAATTTAGCCAATAGCTCAGAAAACAATGAGTTGACTTGCTTATGTGCATCCATATCACAATAAAAAAAAATACGAAGTATATTAAACACTCATTGGCTTGGCACAATCGGCACAATACAATACAACTCGAATCTATACAACTCGACTTTTTCTAAATCCGTTTCAGACACGATTTGTTCGAACACGAGACACAAATGACCCGGCCCGTGCCTGGCTATAGTAAGACGGAATAGACTAGACTTGATTAAATTGAGCCCGGCCCGATTTTAAACTTTTTGGGCGGGTTTAAAAATGCGATTTTATGCAATTTTAGTTGTTTTTTTGACCCGGTCCGAAAATGACCCGAAAAGCCCACATAACCCGACTAGTTTGGGACACAATTTCCGGTCCAAAGCTTGGCCCAACCCGGCCCAAAGAATGGGCTAATTTTTTCCGACCTTGTCCCGATCCGCCAAGGATAACCTCTAGAATAGACTGACTTCTGGAAGTGGAGAAAGGCAGAAAGCGGATCGAAATTACAAATTCCTAGCACGCCCTCCCCCGCCACCAAGTCCACCACCATCTTTAACCTCCAAATGTCCAAAAAATTCCTCCGAAAACCCCAGAAAATGTACCAAAATGTAATCTTCCCAAGCAATTTCCAGCAGACAATTAGAAAATTCTTTATACCCTTTATTGAATTCCTAAAAGGGTACTTTGTAGGAGAGAGAAAATGTTTTTTTTTGGGTTGTGGTCGAGATTCTAATTCCACACTCAATGGTCAGAGCTTTTCCCATTTCTCTCTCATTTCGTTTTCTTCTTCGTTGCTTTTACTTGACTTGCTTGTGGAATTGGAATTTCTATTTCTTTGAATTTCTAAATTCTATGGAATTCCCTGTTTCTTCCTTATGTTATTGAATTTTATTTGTTTGTTGCGAATTTTAGTCTATTTTTTGCTTACTTATCTCATAAAGTTTTGATTAAACGCCTATCACAATTTCGATTGTAGTTTCTACCTACCTTCCTCAATTGTACTACGGAGTACAATACTTATACAGTTACTACTCTTACAAGTATATTCTTTTTGTTATTGAAAGTTCGACTCATTTGTTACAAGACTAGTGACTCTAGGTTGAATGGTTAATACAATAATACGTGATTTTGTTGTTAGTTTATTGGCTATACCTCGAGAAATATATTTGATGCTTATATCTAATTAGGCCGTATATTTTAAAACGGTTCATTGTATTACCATTTCAAAGCTGATGTATGTGAAATTAAAATATTTAGAATTGACATACTATAGCAACTTAATTACAATTTAGAATGTTTGTATAAAATAACTACAATTTAGAACGAATTTGGTGGTGCTGTCAAGATGTGTTAGCGTGACATTGTTACAAGGTACTGTACTGTATTTAATACCATATGCATAACCCTGAAAGGCTGAAAAAAAGTAGTATATCTTGCATAAGTAGTTTTTTTTTCTTTTTGAGATGTCTTTTTCTATGTTGTCTCGAGCATTGACCATCATTTTACTGTGTGTCTAGGACAAATTAAAATTTTTTTGTTGCTTATTTTTAAATATCATTATCTGTGTATATTATTCATCGTTATTGCAAATTTTAGTGGTCAAAGTTGCGGTTGCCAAATACTCCGTATAACTCCACTATTGCAAGATATATCTATATTTGTGAACCTGTGGAGAAAACAATTAAGAATACAATTTGTATATGTATATGTATCGTTTCTCAAGTTTCACCTTTTGGATTGGAATGATAATCTAGTTTTTCTCCATTCCACCTGCATTATTCCCATACTATGATAGTTAGGCTTTTTTATTTGGATGGGACATCTCTATATCAGAGTGTCCTCATTTAGTTAACTTGTGGTATGTATTCGTCCTCATCTATTCATTTATAATTGGTGTGAATGAGTCATAAGGACACACAATTAACAAACGAGGGAGAGGGGTATTCGATCCTATGACTTATTCTACATAGACCCTCACTCATTGCCACTAGGCCAAGACCTCGGTCTTTCCATCTATTTATAGATTATAAATATACAAAAACTTGATATTTATTTTTTTGTATTTGTGCACTCATGTCTTACTTGTATAGTTGTATTAGTGTATCTTATCTCATTATGTCATGCTCTCTCACTTCCAAAGTGTTTGGTGACTAATTAGTTGATAACTTATATCAGTTGACCACTAGACCATGACTGATGAAATGTTCTTTTCAAGCCTCTACGCGTTTCTGTGGTTATGATCTCATAAAGCTAGTAGGCATTGAATATAGTAGTAGTATTCGTTCATTTTTTTTTTTTTTTTTGATACTCTCAAGTATCATATAACATGATTGACTAGAATATTTTCTACCTAAATTTGGCAAAATGTGCGGCTTACCCTGTTAAGATATTCAACTGTAACTATATTTTATACAAGTAAACGTTTTGTTTATTGTAGTATCAAGCATGTGTATCTTAAGTAAAGACTTTGCAGAGGCATTGTAGTTTTTGATAAATGATAATAATTTTGCTTGACTTTTAGTATATATGAAACTTTTGTATTTTAGTGAAGCTTCTACGTGCTTTCATAGGGGTTGATTTGTTGCCTCGTACCCTATAAAACATGCAACTATTAGCAGTTTTTGGTTAGTACCCTGCTATTGATTTTTCTCTAGTTAATCTGGTTTTAGTGATGGTACTCAAGAGACAATTTGGTGAGGAGGCAAGTGACAATTCATCACTTAACAATAGCTCCCAAAGCCCGCCAACAAAAACTCGGAAGTGAGTGCACGGGGTTTTTGTTTCCGAGCGTTCATTGCTTTGTGTTTGTCTGTTTATATCTCTACTGTGAATGATCACAATGGCTGGTCTCGCATAGTTGTTTAAGGCTTGAAATGAGTTGCTGTAGTAAGTTTTTTTCAAGTATATCCGGTGACTGACTTGCAATATTTTTGCAGAGTTGCTAACTACGTAATGAAGGAAGTGTCACTGCAAGAAATTGCAACGCAAATATCGGCTATATTGGAACCTGCCCTTCGCAGGATGGTATGTTTTCAGTTGATGCTTTTATCTTCCTGATCATGTTATGTTTTGTACATTTGGATGGCTGCACCACATGTCAGTTTTGGCTGCAAATTTCCTTTTAGATTGTGTTAAGCTCTCTTAGTGTCTAGTAAGCCTTATAGCTATGCGTTCTCCGTGTCACACCGCCTTATAGCTATGCATTCTCCGCGTTACTTATAAAAGCAGCAGTTAAAGAAGATATCAGTATACCTGTTTGAACAATTTGACACATTATGGCATTGGATATCCATTTAAAGTCTATACTTTTTCAATGTGATCCATCATTTTTATTATGGTTGTTTCTTTAAGCTTCAAAGGTTTTTCTAAAATTAATTATTATTAATTTTGTTTTATTTTTTTTAAAGCTGTGTTTTTATGATTCTGAATCCCTTGCTAGCAATAGCGATATTAATGTGTTAATATTAATTACTGTTTTAAATTTTGAAATTTGATTACATGTATTGTGAACAGGTGAAGGAGGAGGTGGAGCCCCTGATATATTTCCTTCAGTCATCTCCAAGGTTAGTTCCGTGTGATACTATGTTCTTTCGGTTATTTTCCAGCTCCATGGATTGTGCTCAATTGATCGTAGCTCTTGCTTCTCCTATCGATTCAACAGTTCTAAAATTTGATAGATGCTTTCTAGTACAGTGGTTTTGTGGACAAATTAGTTGTAAATACTTCCTGCTAGTGGCTGGTAAACATATCATTCTGTGACTATTACTTTCTTTGGATTAAAAAGGCTTTAGTTTTAAGGTTCAATCCCTTGGGTAGCTGGTCTTATTCTTGAAATGGATTTTCTTTTTCAGGGGAACTAGGAATAAAGGTTAAAGTTTTGCTTAATTTGTTTGTGTATCGATGTGTGATCCACTGTTTGTATTCATGCATGGGTGTGATTGTGTTAACTGGAGGAAAAAAAGAGTTACATTAGAGATTGTGAAAGGCGTACAAATTTTGGGGGGTTTATGAACTTTCTCTAATTCCTTTATTTTTATGGAGCATGTCTGTTTTTTTTCTGTTATTATTATTATTGATTTTCTTGATTTTTGGTTGCAGACATTCGCTTGGTATCCAGCAAGATTCATTTCCTTTAAGAAGCTTGCAATTGCTTTTTGTCAACAAATTGCCTTGTACGCTCTTTACAAACAGTAAGATTGAGGATGAGGAGCATAATTCTCTTCAAATAAAACTAGTTGATGCAAAGTCAAAGAGCCTGATCCAACATGGTCCATTCTCCTCTATAAAGGTTGAGATTTTTGCCCTTAATGGTGATTTTGCTGCTGATGGGCGGGAAAATTGGAGTGAGAGTGAATTTAATGATAACATTTTGCGTGAAAGAGAAGGTAAACGACCGTTACTGGTAGGAGAGACTTCCTTTTCACTTATTGGGGGTCTTGGAACCATTGGGATCATTACTTTTACAGATAATTCAAGCTGGGTGAGAAGTAGAAAGTTCAAGTTAGGGGTTCGAGTAGTGTCAAGAGCATCTCATGGTATTGGCATCAGGGAAGCAGTGAGTGAAGCTTTTATGGTATTGGACCATCGTGGGGAATGTACGTGTCTCCTCTCTTTCCTTATCTTGATTTCTAACTTGACCTGGTAACACGTCCAGCCTTTTAGTGCCTATCTTTCCCTCAAGTATTTTTACCAAGCAAAATAGCAGTCTGGTAGTTCAGAAAACTTTAAAGAATTGCGATTGTAAAGTTTTGCGGTACATGCCTTTCAACATAGTTTTATTTTTATATGACAAACTACAATAGATCTGTATATGTATAGTGATTCTATAGCTTAGCACCGTATTATCTGTAAAAGTTAGGGGTTCGAGTAGTGTAGTGATTCTTCAAACAGCTAATACTCATGATTCCATTGTAGTTTCCTAATTGTGTATTTATAATTTGATTTTGCAGCCTATCAGAAGCACAATACACCATCCTTGGATGATCCAGTTTGGCGGTTAAAAAAAATTTCAAAACAGGGGGCATCACACAAGAAATTGGAGAAAAATGGAATCAAGACAGTAAAAGATTTCCTGATGCAATATCACATGAACTCATCTTTTCTACGGAATGTAAGAACATGATTTTTGTATTGAGATGACCGTTGGAGAAAGTTGTGCTTTTATGCGATCTAATACAATCTATCTTCAATCTTTTGTCTTCAAGGTCCTTGGGAAAGGGGTTGCTAATAGAACATGGGACATAATGGTGAAGCATGCTAATGAATGCCATCTAAACAACACATACTATAGTTACTTTAATGAAGCGGAGTCTGCTCAGCTCCTGTTCAACTGTGTCTACAAAGTCGTAGCTGTGAAGTTTGAAGGTCAAGATTACCAGCCTGTCGATACTCTTGATAATTGTCAAAAGGTGAGTAGAAAGTAGATCATAGGACCATGTAGGATATTTTTTGCTACTCTGAATTTTATTGGCTGACTTGTCTTGTGTAATGATTTGTCAGGTTCTGGTGGAGAAGCTAAAGCCGTTTGCTTTCATAAATTTGAACCAGCTGGTTCCAGTTAACAATCCATCAGTTATTTCTACTTCAATGGAACCAACTGTTGAACAACATGTCTTATTTTCTACTCCAAAGCTGGATTTACAGCATGATGCTCTTTCATTTATAGATCAAGGTAATACGTCAAGTTTGTTTTTGTTAGAAGTGGATGGGGGGTTGGGAGTAGTTTGTAAAAATAGATATCTCTGTATATCTTTCTTGTGAGATAAGGATTGGTGCTTCAAACTTCATTGATATTGAAACTGGTCAAAATTCCAATTTAACAAGTGTTGTGACTTTGGACAAATTCCCGGGTTCATATGAAATTTTTTAGAACTTCCAATTGACTCCCCCCCTTCTGGAATAATGTGGAATGATATAGGATGCTATTCGTCCGTTGTTTACGCTGACAGCCTTCTGGTACTGCCGTTGCTCAATGTTGCAAATCTTGCAATATGCGTGCCTGCAGAAATGATTATTTGGATGTGCTAGATCAGCAGTGGAAGTATTTATTGTGCAAGTTGATGGCTGAATGAGTTTAGGTCACTAGACTCACTACTACTCTAGGCTACTAATTGAGGAGCATGCTTTGTTATTGATCCTTGATTTATAATTGCTTATGTGGACTAGAGTACTCATATACTGGGATAACTGCTCTTGCTCAATGCTCTTAAGCTCAATTTTTTTTGCTTCTAATATTACTGCTATATTTGTACAGATGAACCGGATACGAAGTTGGATATTAATCTTTCAGATTCAGAATCATACCCCTGCACAATTGAAGATGGCTATACATTTGAAGTTGAATCAGCATCTCAGCGTAACCAACGGATACAGGGGTTTACTCCAGGAACTTTCCTAATGGGTGATTACGGTGCTGAGCTCTCTGACAAAGCTTATAACTGGCACCAAAACAGTTCACTGGCAACATTTGCGCAAAACTGTCAGTTTGGAGAGCTTTCTCATATTCAAACCTCGCCCTTCTATCCTCTTGCAACAAATTGGGGCCAAGGGGACAACGTTTTAGCAACTCTATCTCCTGCAACTCATTTTGATATCCTCTCCCAGCTTCCTGATCTTAGTGGTGCTATCTCAGGCTCTGGAAAGTCTAGGGCGGGCTGGTGTAAGATTCGAGCTGCTGTTATGTGGAATATTGTTAGAAGAAATGCTGCTGCTAGAAGGAAAGCAAAATTTCCTTTCGGCTATCATTAATACAGACGCTGCCACACTGCTCATACTCCGAACTCTGAAATTGCTAGGTATAGTTAGGGCTGCGGCTCCCATAGAAAAGGGTGGCGTTAAGTCGAAATACATTGTGACTGTATAATTAAAAAATGTATAGAAGGCAGAATTGCCATCTATTCCTATAAGTGGATTTTGTATGATGTGAATAAGCCTTCTAGTTGCTGCTTTTTGTGTGTGTCCTGTGGAAAAATGTATACTTGTTGGGCATTGTCAGTGAATCACTAATTGTAAATGTGATGGTACTTTTAAGGAATATAAAGTTACTTGTTACTTCGTATGATTTGAATACAATTTTTTTTATGGGCGTCCTTGTTGATTTGCGTACCTTGGTTCATTCTTCGTTGTGTGCATCGCAGGATCTAATCAGGTTTCTCCAGCAAAGAGAACTGAGAAGATGTGAAGGGATATGATTCAGAGGCATCACTCTGGGAGGAATATCAGGTGGTGGAAAGATCTAATTGGTGAGAAGCACCACCATTCAGGTATAGTGTTGATTGTTGAATGGGGTTGTTTGAGAGTTCTTTTTAGCAGGTAGTTTATCTTGAAATGATTTAAGCTTTGAAAGATGGATTTATATGGCCCTGGACCTGGCCCCTGCGTACAGGTCTTGATTAGTCCCGTACAATGGGGCGGGGCCCTGATAAAAGCCCCAACCCAACCTTGAAATGTAAGGGTCAGACTTGATACGGACCGCCTCCACATAAACAGGGCGAACTCTTAATGGGTCAAAATTCTATTGTGTATAAATGAGCTTAGACCCATCTAATTTTGACCCAGCCCAACCCTAACTCGCCCCTTTGCACAGGCCTAGTCTTGATCTAGCATGAAGCTTGGGTCTCAAATAGCTTTCCATATAAGTAATGAAGGGAAGAATAGTTGTGAGGGTAAACGCACATAGCAAGGCATTGTGGGTGGGAAGGGGGGATATATGCTAGCTAGCAAACTCGCAATCCCCAGTTTGCTATTCAATCCCTGAGCACCTACTAATCTACTTTGGTGATTGGAGGCTAATCAATTGGCTAATAAAGGGGTACATCAATTAAATTAAAATAAAAATGTAAATACATGTATTCCACGTACTAGTATACTACATGTATATTTCTTGTGACACGTGGATTCTGTCATTAATTAAGGAGTGGAGTACTGTATAACTTTAGACATAATTTACGATTATATCTGATTATATCCGTACACTCGAAAATGAATATAAAATTCCAAAAAACAAGGACCCAATCAGTTACGTAGCCTGAGAATCTAACACTGCGTGAAATGTAATGGGGTTTTGTATGAGATCACTAGAAGACTGCTACCTGGGCCGCCTTACTTGGGCAGCAAGCACCCTTTTCGGGCAGAACGGGCAGGGAACACTGAAAGCTACTCACTGAGTCTGTGTCATTGGTGAGTTGGTGACTACTAAGCACTTTCATCATTCACTACTTAAAAATAATCCACTGCTTAATACTTTATTAGTTTAACATACATGAACCCCTTAATCGTAATAGCTAATATAATCACAGAGAATATGAGAACGATTATGTGTCATGGAAAAGGATAGATTGACAATTATGTTGTAATTAATTTGGGACGACTTAAAGAGGAAAATGTGACAATTAATTTGAAAAGAAGAAAGTACTTTTAAAAGCGAGTGGTTGAGTGAACTTTAAAGCACACTTATTTTTTTAGAACCTAGCTTAATGCTAGTGAAATATAGAAATGCAAAAATTTAAAGCCAATTAAGGGGTATATTAGAAGTAACTACAGCTCATTAGATGTACAAGCCGACTAATTCGATTTGTGATTAATCACTTTCTTCCTAAATATAGTATCCTAACAATATACATGTACTAAGCAATTAATCAAAGAGGGAAAAGACGGCTTAATATCTCCCAAAACGTCGATGGTAGGCCATAGGTTGAGAAAGAAAAACTAGGGTTTAGACGAGCATTGAGAAAGACTAAGGTTTACGCAAGAAGTATTGATCATAAATTATATTCTTTAATCAAACGATTACCAAAATTATGACATGGAAGAGTATTCATAATTAAAGCAGGCTAATTTTGTTTTTTTTGAATTTCAGTGATGTAATCTGCTGAGGTGGAGCAAATAATCCTACGTGCATACACGCACTTCACCTGGCCTCAAGTATGTAATAAGGAATCCTGAATCTTGCTTGTGTTCAATTGTTGACTGTATAGCTTTAGTTTATTTACTATCATTTTATAAGTGATTAAAGTACTAATTATTCCTTAATTTTAGTTTTGTGTTTTCGAAAGTAGATTACTCATAAAGAATATGCTTTACCTTGCATGGAATATTGGTCGGGATTTTATTTATATGAGTGTTTATATTTCAATAATTCTATGTGATCGTTTTGACTCTTAATCTGTATTTTCTTGATTGATTAAACATTAAGTTGGAACTTTATTAGCGTTGATAAAAATAAGTTGGTAGCAATAATGAAAGTAAAAATTGCTTGTATTAGCATTATGACATCAAGGGCATGTTTGGCAGCAACAATAGTTTGTACACATGATTGACTCAATTAAAAACTACTACTAGCATTTTTAGAACTTGATTAGTAAAATGATATACCACGTACAAAGTAATTCAAAGAATTCATCCTTGGTCTAGATCAAAATGTTCCATTCTTCATAATAATGAAGTTCTGATCTACCTGATCAAAGTATGTATAAACTCTATTTTTCAACAAAATAATGTAAGGTGACTAATGAGAATAATGAAATTCTGATTCAATAGGGTGCCTTTTCCTAACCTTTCAACAACAACCAAAAAAAAAAAAAAAAAATACTAACTACAAATTAAGTTGAGGGCTTAATAACTTTATAAGTCCCTAGTAAAAAAATCCTAAAGTACTCCATTAACACTTCATACCTACTACCAAGCTAAGAGGATTAGGAATATCATCCTTGTTGCACCTCTTAGATCAAGTAGAACACATTAATGAAAACTACTTCATTAATAAACTAAACAATTAATTACTATATATAATTAAGCAAGACCATACTTTTGAATTCTAAATTTCTTTCTTTATTTTTCAATTTTGTTCCCTTTAGAAAGCATGAATTCTAGTAGTTTTAGTCATGGCCATCATAATCATATGTAAATATTAATAATCTATTAACGTTTACTTGACTTTGCTACAATTTTGGCAATTACATGTAAGCTTCTACGCGGTTGCGTAATACCTTTTACATTCTTATTTCATGTTTCCCTCTCTTTTTCATTCTATAAATATGTCATTTTTGAGCTGTGAATAAGTTACTCCAACCATTTGGTCATCACTCTTTTTTAGAATTTGCAAATTTGAATAACTCATTGATTTGGATGGTGTTGAAGAGGGGTTTTTCAGGTGAAATGGAGAATGATAATCCTCACTTTCAAACTACTCAACAACAAAATCAACGTTTTAAGTTCACCAAGTAAGTAATACTTGTAGTGTATGATTGATCGACTTATTTATCCAAGAGGTAAAAGTAAAATATCAAACATTACAAAAGAGCCGTGCTCATTAATCTTTGATCTAAAGCCTAGAGCTCGATGTTAATTTACAAAGTTATTTTTAATTAAGCTTACATGATTTTCTTTAATTTAAGGGACAAAGGTACTGACAAAAGATATTAACTACAAGAGTTTTTTTTTTTTTTTTTTTGAAAGAATTACTCGAGTATTTTTTTAATCACAAGTTACATGGTTGATTTTTCTTTAGTAATGCACATTTTTGATAGTCCTAATTCATGCATGCAGTGTGACGGGATTGTTAATTTGTGACGTAATAATTACGATTGGAAAATTCTCGATAGTAGCATCCTACAAACATGAAAATAGAAATCTGAAATATTTTTATACTGAGTATATATTGTAAAATCTTTAAAATACATCGTGTGTTATTATGTTTTTAATTTCGTATATGTAAAAGACAAAATCTGTAGTAATAATTGACTTTGAATCATGTCAAATTGCTAGGTGTATTTGCAAAGATAAGAAATGGCTGCAAGCATATTCTGCCCAGTTGGAGAATTCAATCCGAAAAGTGGTACTATCATTTAACTTTTGTTTCTGGATTTCTTATATTATTGATCTTTTGATATTTATGCTTTTATTTTCGCATAAATAAATTTGCACTTTATTGGAATCAGGATCATTATTATTATTTTTTTGTCAATTTATTAATTCAAAAGAACCCACTCTTTTTGTGTGTCCTTTTCAAATATATAATTGTAATCTTTAGTTGAATTTTTTTTAACGGCCTGATGTCGGGAAGTTATTCAAACAAGGATATCATTTCTGAGGTTAGCATTTGGTAGGATGGTCAAGTCAACTTTGTTGTGATGTTGAAGTGTTATCTGTTATGTAGGAGAAGGCAAATAAAAAGTCTTATGGATGGCCATATATATGTTAGGTAGCTACACCCTACGCCGTGATCAGTATAGCGCATGGCTCGCTTTGGTCGGGCCGTGTTACAGCCAATAAATTACACCAGGCCAATGGCATGGTATATATGAGTCACGACCCACATGCTACACTTTGGTGAGCCATGGGCCACAAAACTACCCCATACCAATTTATTTTGTTTTCCAAATTTATCCTACTTAGTTAACTGTGTTTAGATTCGTTTTAAAGTGTATTTAAACAAATAAATAATAGAATATACTGACGGTCAAATTTGTGAATTAAAACTTTGCGGGGGCAACCTGGGGAGGTGGCCTGTCACTAGCCAAAGAAATGTTTGAGAAGATTTTGATTGACAGTGGTCATGTACTCATGTTACTCATGTAGTTCGACAATAACTCTCAATTCATTTGGATATTTGAATTTGTTATTATGACATGAACAGTTAAGGGAGGAAGTAGAGCAGGCCATACAACAGTCTTACCACTCCATATTAAGGTCAGTTTGCTATCCATGTTTGTAATACTTAGGCCTTGTTTTGCTGTGTAATTTTGATCACCTTAATGCTTATCTTTATTGATGTTTAATAACTATAATTTTCGAGTTTATATGTCATTAAAGCATGTTACTATAGATAGGGTTTAAGTCCTTTATAACTTTGGTGTTCTAGGCTTACCTCTATGTTTCATTGAATATGAATACTAGTTTAAATACTTTGTTGTTTATTGATCAATATCGTAATGGCTAACTTTGCCGTACCTCTTATAATCACCTTACTTTAATTAAGATCAGCATATTTAACATGATGAAAATCTTCAGAAATGTTAATTTATCTTATGCTTATATGTTGGTTTATGTTTGAACTCATCTTCAGTAAGTTTTGAGGAGCTATTGTTATTTATTTGGTAAAAAAAAAAAGTTGGTCTTGTTACTCTTGTACAAGGAGATCAAGTGTTCTTTTTTACTACGTACCACTCTACCATGTTGATCTTTCACTTCAGAATGAACTTATTGGCCCTATTTGAACTTATTTTTCGTAAATCTTTTATATAGGTGAAAAGAATGAAGCCTAAGAGGCTAAGACTGGTTCATATGATACGGATGATATACTTTATTTAATGCTTTGGCTAATTTTTAGCTGTATTCTAAGTCAAGCTTTTACTTTGTCACATAGGTTGATGCCAAGTCAGGTGAAGCCAAGTGAATCAAGAAAGTTTAAGCTGCAGTTTGAGGACAAGTTACCTGATAAACTTTTTACTGGGAACAAGGTAGAAGCTGAAGGGCCTTCACCAATCAAAATTTACTTACTTGATGCAATTACTGGGCATCGAGTAACTGATGGTCCTCTGTCATCAGTGAAAGTGAAAATTGTTGTTCTTCATGGACATTTTAAGGCTGAGGAACTAGATAATTGGACTGAAGAAGAATTTGACAACAATATTGTGTTTGAGAGGGATGGTAAAAGGCCATTGTTGATCGGACAGCACCTAATTTCATTGCAAAATGGGGTCTGCTGTGTTGGTAATATATGCTTCACAGATAACTCTAGCTGGGAAAGAAGCAAGATGTTCAGGCTTGGGGCTAAAGTTGAAGCCAAAGGACACCAAGTGAGGGAAGCGGTAAGTAGTCCTTTTGAAGTGAAAGATCGGCGTGGAGAGAGTAAGTGTTTAGTCCTTTCCTGTACTGCATTTTTGTTTTGCAGGGCATTCTTATCTCCATTAGTCTACTACCCCCATTTAATTCTTTGACAACTGGAGAGAGCTTTACTGCTTTAGGCCTTATTTTCCTATTAGTTGATTGCTGATAATTGATTGCATTAGGTGTTATTTATTAGCTGATTTGACTAGGGGATTATATTAGCAGCTAGTTGTACAAAGGATGTTTGTTAAATTTGGCTGATAGCTAATAGTATAGCTATCAACTAGTATACTATTTAAGTGTTTTATAAAGGAGATTATTATGCTGTGCAGATTACCAGAAGCACAAGATTCCGGCTCCAGAAGATGAAGTCTGGCGCTTGTGCTGGATAGCAAAAGATGGGAAGATAAGCAAAAGGTTGGCTGAACATCATATTTACAAAGTGAAGGATTTCGTGAAACAATATTACCTTGATGAGTCCTTACTCCGCCAAGTAAAGAAACTTCTTAATACTTATAGGATGATTATCATTTAATAGAATGTTTGTGTATGGCTTTAACTTTCTGAAGTAAAATTCTAACCAATTATGTTTAATTTGTTGATTGCAGATTCTGAATGTAACACCGAAAAAATGGGAAGCAATAATTCAACGTGCTACTTCATGCTTTTCAGGGGATTCTAGTCAAAGTCTGAGTGACTCGGCACCAATTGATGCTCCTATTAGCAATACAAATTGCCCAATTACAGTTCCTGGCTTGAACATGCAGCAATTCTGTATGCCTCCATCTTGCTATGGTATTACACGTACTTAAGGAGGCGTTGGTTTAATTCTTTATCTTTTTGACTGTCACATATAGTTGTACCGGAACAAAATGTTTAGAAAACTCATAAATTAAATTTGTGCTGTCATATTTTCGCTATTTGAGATTTTCTGAATCACTGTATTGATACTCTTATAAAATGTTTCTGACTATACAGATCAACCAGAGAATAGAATGTCACATTACCATACCGAGGATTATAGCCATCATCTGCATCAATCCATGGCTCTGAACAATCCATTAGTCATGGACTTGTTAGCTGGATCATGTAGTGAGGATGGCAGTCTTCCGTCTCTGGAAGACTGTATGCTACCACCCTTCCCTAATGTGTTTGACTTTGAAACCTCAAGTTGGTTTCATGCTTCTCAATTGATGGGAGAAGAAGGCAATAGCGGTGATTATATGGGTTTTAGCCATAACTCTGATATAGGGATGCCCTCCTTCACCCCTAATGTGATTGTTAATGCTTCAGAGACTGCAAAGCCAAAAGGATGGAGCAAGGTTCGAGCTATTATGAGGGTAAAAGTTAAGCATGATGAAGCTGTCAGGAAGGGAAAGTTTCAGTGTTTTAGTCAGTAGGCGGCTTACCCCTTGAATATTTGGAGGGGTAAGCCAGTAGGGCATTGTGGAGGAGGGAAAATTGCGAAGGATTTCTCCTTTGATGTTTGATATGTTCCTAAATGTATGTGAAGTGCCAAATAATGGTTCTTTGTATTGTAATTGGGTTTACCCTATGATTCCAGATGTAAGTAGTCCTGATTTTGTGCTAGCTAGGCAATTCACATATATGTATAGCTAAGCCCTTTAATCTATGATGTATAATAGTTTGTTATATGTTGGTATCCTAAACATCTGGATATTATATGAATCCCATAATCATATCGTTAATCTCATCGAAATGTATGTTCTATAAATTTCTTGCAGTTTGCCTGTAAATCTCCTTACTATCCAAGCTGGGTAATTGTACTTCTACTACTGTCAAGTATGTTGTTACAGACTGTGTTGCTGCTTGCTGCTGATCTAATTTCAATTCTAGTGCATTTTTCTGCAATTCTGTTGATCACTTGATCTTCAAGTCTGTTAGTGGGGACTGGGGACTGCTAAGGCCTGGGAGTTTGATTGTTTACCATTTGTTCATGTTGGTGTTATTGGTATGCATTTGTGAATGCTGCTGTTGCAACTCCTGTATAGGCCCTATTCAGCAAAGCTAGCATAATATAGAGTACTAATTTTAGTTATTAAGTACTTAATACATGTCGGGGCAACGATTAGCTGTCAACTAAAGCTGTAATACCGCTAACATCATTAGCGTATCTACTCTTAAAACCACTGTTGGTGTTAGCGATTTTACCCTTTTTATCTTAATTTATGTCATTTTGCCTGTAATAAACAATACGTTGTTTATAGGCTTATAAACTTGTATTTTCCTCATTTTTGGGGGGGTTTTGGCTAGGATAAAAACAGGCATTTAGACAAAACAGGAATCAAGTTTGGGACTTTACTTGAGTGACTTAATTAAAAACAATAATCACTCCACCGCCCCCTTTCTTTTTTGTCTGAATTAATTATTAAGTGGACCTACCTTATTGCCTACAAGACAGAATAAAACTCCTAAGTTCTTCGATTTGACACTCTTAATTGGAGTCTTGGCAAAAAGTATCATAGTACCTTTTGAACCTTTTATAGTTTAACTAATGAGTCTTCCAACGCATTAATCTAACACTAGCTTGTTTCGTTCCTAAATGTTCTTCTTCGTTTGATTATTTTAATCAAGAATAATACAAATGACCGGAGGACATACCAATTACCAAATGTTTATGCATGTATAAAGGTGGCCAGTGGGCCGGGTTGAACCTAGCTCACCCTGACCCGCACGGCTAGTGGGTCACGTGGGTCCGACCCGGTACCAACTCGACACAGCCCGGGTTTAGCTGGGGTTGTGTCGTGGGTCCAAAATTTTCGACACAACCTATTTCGACCAAGCTATTGACCCGTTTGATTCGGCCCAACTCGCACGACCCGTTTTGACCCATTTCATTCGACCCACCCAACCCGACCCAGCTCGCACAACCCAGCCCACCTTGCACGCCCAACCCGTACGACCCACAACTCAGCTCGCCCGCACGCACGACCCACCTAACCCACACGGCCCAGCCAACTCGCACGACCCACATAACTTCTTATTATAAGTATAGGAGTGGTTTGATTGAATTATTTCGTACTTTTGATGATCGTGTTAGTTTTACAAGTGTTACATGGACTTCTTGTTTTAGCGGACCTTTTCTTTGCATTACTGCTCATTGGGTGGATGATGATTGGTTTATTAAAAATCGTTTACTTTGTTTTCAAGCTATGTAAGAAAGGCATACCGGTTTTAACATCAAAGTTCGTATTATGGATTGTTTAAAAGAATTTCAGTTGAATGGTAAAGTTTTTTTTTTTGGGTCTCTTGATAATGTAACTGCAAACACAATGTGTATTGACTATTTGAAAAATGATTCTTGAGTTGGATTTGTTGTTGGGTGGTAATCTCTTGCATGTTAGATGTTGTGCACATATTTTGAATTTATCTGTTCAAGAGGGTCTCGGTGATTTGCAACCATTGCTAAACCGAATTAGAATTGTTATAAAAAATGGATTAGGCTTACTTCCTCAGTTAGATGAAAAGTACATGACTATGTGTAAAGAGGGAGGTCTTAAGAAAAGACAATGGTCTATTGATACCCCTACCCGTTGGAATTCTACTTTCAATTTATTGAATGATGCTATAAAGTATCGTGACGTTTTGACCCAACTTTACAATGAGACTCGTGTTGATCCTAGTGAGTTAATAACTGAAAGCCATTGGAATAATGCCTCTTTTGTTCGCGAGTTTTAAATGCTTTTGATCATGCAACTCATATTTTCTTTTATATCTATGAGTCTAACATTCATTTAGTCATATTGGAGTATGTTAAAGTTGTTCACACCATTGAAGAGCATATGAAAATTGATGGACTTCGTACCGTTTTTGATAGCATGAAACGTAAGTGGCATACTTATTTTAGTGAATTCTCAATTATTTTATGGAATTGCTGCTGCACTTGACCCCGGTGTCAAAGCTGAAGATTTGGAAAATCTTTTAGCTATCAAATTGTTAATTTTGTAAAAATTAAACAACCTTAAAAATAAATATGTGCAAAAAATTATTTCAAAATAAAAGTTCAAAACTATTAAAAAAACAAACTTGTATATTTATTTGACCAACACTACCCACTTAGCCATACCCGACCCTAACACACGTATCAGCTTAACCCAAACCAACGAACCCACCTGACCCTAACCCACCCAACCCACAAACCCAGCTCGACCTACCCTCCGACCTATCTCGACCCACCCTCCAACCCACGAACCCAGCTCGACCCACCCACGATCCGTCTAACCCATAAACCCGGCTCGACCCACCCACGAACCCAACCTTGGGTCGTGTTGTGTCGTGTCGTGTGTGACACACACGACCTGGCCCACCCTACCCTACATGAGTCGTGTCGTGTGTCATGAAACCCCAACCCGTAACCCACCTAACCCTAACCCAACTCGCACAGCCCGCACGGTGGACACCTCTAGCATGTATGATGGTTCAAGAATCACATCACATCATGCTCTCTCTGCAATATGTGTACATATATTACACTTGAGCTGAGGCTAGAGGTACCAATTCAAGTCACAGGGCAAAGTTCGGATTCGGCCTAATTTAAATTTGAGTCATGCTAAACAATTGTATTATGAGACAAATCAATTTTAAATCAAGCTAAGTCAGGTCTATATATGTCAGATCATCAGGTCAGTTTTTTAACACTCCTACATACATACAAAGAGATTTGAACCCAAAACCTGATTGAATGAAAATCACATGTATTACCATCTTAAATAGAATTAAATCATGCTCTATGAATCCACATTTATATATAAATACATACAACTATTAGAATGTAGATCATAAAAACAAAAAAAGAAAAAATCCAAAATAAGTTATTATTATCATTTCATTGTAATTTACCCACGTTAAAAAAAAAAAAAAATTACTTCGTAAGTCTTTTAAAGCGTCTAATATAAAAATGAATTTATTCAAAATATCATCCGGATCAAATCTCGGGTCATACATTAGTGTTACGTTAAATGCCGGCACATGACATGACATGTACAAGCCAGGCCTCCCATGACACGTGTACATCAAGCTATTAATAATGAACCCTCTCATCTAACGGAAGCATGGTACCATTAACCAAAATATACCCAAAGTATGCACAAATGAAACCCTTATTATTGGATGCACAACTAATGAGTAATGAACCCTTACTTTTTGCCTTCTAATAAACCCATTATTTTATTATTATTAAAATATTAACCAAACCCATTTTTAACTTGACTTTTATACAGTTTATTTATGCTATCATGGTAGCTTCCTTAATAGCTTCCACGACATTACGTCTCATTTTAATCGTCTTTTCTATTACAAGGTTCACACATACACACACTCTCTCCTCTCTAATTTAGTTCTCTATTTGTATAAATTGCCGTCATTTGAGCCGAAGTTAATTATTCTCTAATCTAATCAAATCTAGCTCTCATCATTTTTATTGTTTCAGCAATTAATTATTATACTTGGCTTTTAAACACTCGTTGGTTGGTTAGTTAGTTTTGATGGTACCCATGAAGAACACTGAACAAAGAGACCAGCACCACCTGAAGTTCACAAAGTAAGTAGTTGATCAACTATTAATCTCCGAGGTTTAGAATATATTTTGGTCAGTTATATGTATATTCTACAAAATGCCGTATGTTCTCTATCAATTTTTTTTGATCTAAATTATGGTGCATGTTTACGAGCAGTCTAAAAAATTTTACATATCTCGCGAGATATTTTAATGAAATATATACCCGGTATTAAAATCGAGTTTATAACTTGTGTGCCAGGTATCTGTTTAAAGACAAATTATGGATGCAAAGATATTCTGCCCAGCTGGAGAATGAGTTTAGAAAAATGGTACCGCTTTTTGGATCTTTTTGTAGCTTATATATGATGACATCTTTTTCTTGTTTTAGATGGGTTTACAACTTTATAATGATTTCAGATTGTTTATCTAATTATGTTTTCTTATCAACTTATCATACATTAGCTTTGCACTTTTCAAAAAGCAGAACTAGAAATAGTATTATCGTGCATGTATAGTTGCATGTCCATAATTATCTATTTCTGTCAATTCATTTTAAGATAAGATTAAGATTTAATATATAATCATAAATGTCCCTGTCAAGGGTACTTTATATTTGATGGAATGGATCATCAAACATTCGTTATAGAATAAGTGATAATGGACATATAATGATTTAAGTTGTACGGCAATAATAGTATAGACGTATGGTGCAAATCAATATTGCCCCTTCGTCTTTGTGTTTTTTCGTTTGAAATGAATAATCACGTATGTAAAAAGTAAAGTTATTGAATTTGTATGACAATAGTAATATAGTGTAAATCAAAATTTTCATACGTTCATTCGTCTTATGTGTTTTTTGTCTGAAATTAATAATCATTATTACTTACGACTTTACGAGGTAAGATTATTGAATTTGTTATTATTACAATATGAATAGGTCCGAGAGGAAGTGGAGCAAACAATTCAACGCTCTACCCTTTCCATCTCAAGGTCAGTTATTTCTCTTAATTTGTTTGAGGATATTGTATTTTATATTTTCTATAATAACTTACATAGTTTGTGGTAAATCTATTGTATATTTGTGTCGGTCAACTTGTGTCAACTCTACTTTAAAGTACCCTTTTTTTTATAACCCGGCCAAGGTGTACGCTCTAAAATAACTTAACTATGTCATAGGTCATTCCCAAATCCGATTGATCCATCTGAATCCAGACCATTTAAGCTGCAGTTTGAGGGCAATTTACCCTGCACACTTTTTACTGGGAACAAGGTTGAAGCTGAGGGGTCTTCACCTATTAAGGTACTGCTACTCGACGCAGTTTCTGGGCATCTAATTACAGACGGTCCCTTGTCATCGAAAAGGGTTGAAATTGTGGTTGTTCAGGGTCATTTCAAGGCCGAGCAACTAGAGAAATGGACAAAGAGCGACTTCTGTAAACATATAGTATCTAAGAGAAGTAACAAAGGATCATTGTTGGTTGGGCAATATGTGACTGCTTTACACAATGGAATTGGTTTTGTTAATAACATTTGCTTCATGGATAATTCTAGTTGGGATAGAAGCAAGAAGTTTAGGTTGGGGGCTAGAGTAGTGGCCGAAGATGACCGAGTGAGGGAAGCAGTGAGTAATGCTTTCCGAGTGAAAGATCGTCGTGGAGAGAGTAAGTCATGTAGCATACATACATGTTATATGATTAGTATTCAGCTTTGTTGATGATCTTATTTGTGTATATATATATATGCTTTGCTGCAGTCTATCAGAAGCATCACATTCCATCTTTAGACGATGAAGTTTGGCGTTTGTATTGGATAGCAAAAGACGGGAAGATCTGCAGAAAATTGGAAGAAAATCAGATATATAAAGTGAAGGATTTTATCACACTTGTTTCGGATGAAAACAATCGAATCTCGGAAGATCCTTTTATCTTGAGGGAACTTGGTCTCGGTCCGAACGACGCAGGAGCCGAGGGTTTCCTGCACAACAAATACACGTAAACTAGCCTCGGGGGGGACGCCGAGGAAGGCCCCTCCGATGCTTAAGTCAGTATATTAGAGAGAGAAAGCTGTGCAAGAGTTTAGTTGCTTGAGGCTTTATTGTCTTACCAAGAATTGACCAAATTGTTGGCTTTTATACCTTGGCTAATGAAGGAGGCGGATTGGGCCCGGAAGTCAGTTGGGCTGGGCCAAGCTGATTGGGCCGTTGACTGACCTTGACATGGCTTTGAGGATGTTGATTTTTGACTTTAGCACATTTGGAGAGTTGAACCTTAACCTTGGGCTTTTAATTGGATCATTCAGTGACCAGGCCCAATTGGACTAAATTGGACCCAAACAACTTGCCCCCCAGACCCGATTTGGAAGGATGACGGGTCGGGTTTGATTTAATCAGAAAAGGAGGGAAGTGAATGATTTGTTAATCCAAAAATGTGAATTTAAACCATAATTAACCCATGATTAATGAGATAACAACAGTTAATGTGGATAATTGCGGAAGTTGGACGGGTAGTGGGCGATTTAACTGCAAGGTCGTGTGTTTAACGGTTACTTAGTGGGGTGCTTGAGAGAAATTGAAACGCAGACTCCTTGAATTCCCATTTCTGGAGATATAAATAGAGGCGCGTCTTCTCTCCCCACTCATTCATCAACACAAACCCAGAATTCTCAAGAACGCTCAAGAGCCCGCATCAAAACTTCGCAAATTCCCCGAGCATTAAGCTTAGAAGCTGAGACTTGTCACTACCAATTCGTAAATCGGCGACTTTTGCTTCAGATCAAGGTAAATTCCTTTGATTTTATTTCATTTTTCTTCGACTTTGCACTCTTTCCCCTTTTTCGACTTTTTCCTTCGAAATTCGTCAATGGTGAGGGGAGTTAGAGGTGGAGCCCGTGCTCCAAGAAGAGCAAGGCTAATCCCCGATCCCAGGGACAGGATTGGGACCTGGAATGGACGAAGGACAGAGTCTGACCCTGCTGAAGGGGTTAGGGCGACTCCCATTTCTTCGGCTCCTCCTCAGAGGGCTGAGGGGGTGAGCGCTTCAGGACGGGATGATGAAGTTCCCGCTGTCCTTTGGGATATCCTCCCAGGGTTTTCAGAGTGGGAGGATGCCGAAGTAGCTTCGGCCATGATAAAGAACCGCCCCTACTCATGGTGGGTGGAGAATGCTGATCAGTACCGGTTTGCCGAGCAAATTGAGTTGCATTACGGCATCCTTGAAGCCGATGGGTATTGGTGCCGAATGCCCACGGCCTCCGATAGAATCCACCGTCCACCCCCGGGGTATGTGGGGGTGTACACAAGACAACTCCAGTACGGGCTGAGGTTCCCTTTGGACGTATTCGTCCGAGACTTGCTGATCCATTACAACATTTCCCTGTGCCAGCTGACCCCCACCAGCATCCGAAGGGTAATGACGTACTTATGGGTCTGCAAATTCTTCAGGTACGTGCCGAACCTGCATTGCTTCAAAAGGCTCCATCGGCTAGTGCCAAACATTCAAAGTGGGCACGGATGCCATGGCTCTGGGTGGTATCGGATTGAGTCTCGGCCCCCGTTCCTAACCATGTGGCCGAACGACTCTTCAGACAAGGACTGGAGAGGTCAATGGATTTGGGTTAGGGCACCCACGGAGCCGAGCCACCCTTACGTTTTCAGCGCTCCCCGGTATCTTGCCGAGCCGGATCCTGATATGGGAAGTTTAGGTCCTCCCGAAGATAGCGGGCCAGACCCGAACCTTAATCAGCAGAACATCTTCGGCAAGCTGCCGAACCGGGGAGGCAGCGGCCGAATGCAGCATATCCCGGAGACTTGGCTCCCCGATACGCACTATGTTTTCCAAGAGAATATGCTGGCAGCTGTCGGCCTCAGCCGAAAGTTTAGGGATGGTAATCTTCTTCGGCTGGGGCCGAGGCCTTTTAATTATCTCTTTTCTTCTTTCATTTTGCTTTCTTGTGATGTGCCGAACTAACTGAATTGACTTCTCCCCTTTTCTTTTTCAGAACGGGACGAGACCAACGTCGGCATTGATTACGCTCGCCTTGGCGTCAACCGAGAACGAGTCGTAACTGATCGGGCTCCCCCTATCACTGAACCAAGGCGCCGAGAGGTTCACCTAGACTCTTCCCACTTCCAAATTGAGGCTGTTGCTCTGTATCAGAGGCAGAAGCCTTGGTGGAAGAAGAGAGATCCCTTGTTTCAGCTGCTGGAAGAAGAAGCTGAAGCTGCCCGTACAGCCGAAGAGGTTGCACGGGTTATTGAAGCTTGTGAAGGTGGAGAAGGGTCCTCCAGAGTTGCTGAAGAAGCTGCGGCTAGGGCAGCTGAAGAAGACGAGGCTTTGCTGAAGACCTCGGTGAGCCTTTAGACTTAACTTTGTCTTTCTTCTTTTTTTTTTTTTTTTTTTACTCACATTCTTCCCCCTGCCTGCCCTTTACAGTCTGAAGAGAGCAGCAGACACAGGGAAGGGAAAGCCCCTGTTCGTCCCGAAGACCAAGTACAAGAAGAGTCTTCAGACTCGGGTATGGACGAGCAGCCGCTTCAGAAGAGGCGCCGAAGAATGGCCATCATCGGCCCGCATGACTTTCAGCGGAGGCCGATGACCATCGGCGTTGAAATAAGGGAACCCGAGGAAGGCAATGGATCGCCGAGGGTTCCCCGGCCACCGCCTCAATCACCCCCAAGGGCCTCTCCGCCACCCCCCGAGATGGAGGTGGATCAGAGAACTCCCAAACCTAAGGGAGAGGTTCTGGAAGAAGCTCGAGAGAGTGCCGCCGAGGACAAGGATGGAGACGCCGTGATGCCCAGTGCTGAGGGTTTCACGGCGGACATTGCCAGAGAGGTTGGGGCCTTCGTCCTCACACCTGAAGAAGAAGAGGTCACAATAATTGACTCTTCTGAGAAGGAGGAGGACGTTGAGCCACCCAAAGCTAAAGAGGCTCCATCGTCATCCTTCCCTTCCTTCCAGACGCTGCAGTCTGGAGAAATGGGTTTCTCGGCCCCCCGAATTCCAGTCCCAGACCACATCTGGGACCTCATATGGGGTCAGAACCGAGAAGGTGCTGCAGCCTACTTCGGCGATTTTGCTGGCCTGTCCGAAGTAGATAGGGCAAGGATTTGGTCGCTGAAGGCCACTGCTGGGATGGGCGAATCCAGCAGATCAGTTCCTGACCCTGCCAGGTCCAACCAACTGCTGATGATGCAGGTAATTCTCCTTGCCTTGATTTCTTTCTGAACTCAACCTTTCAGCTATTATTTTTTACTTTTTTAACTTGTGCCCCTGTTTTCAGTTCGTGCACAATCAGACTCTCACTGTAGAGCTGATAGATTCCCTACAAGATAGGGTGGACGCTGCCGAGCACGATCAAAGGGTAGCCGAGGAAGAGCTAAAGCTTGCTAAGCTGAAGCAGGCAGCAGCTGAAGAGAAGCAGCAGAAGGCTGAGGAGTACGAGAAAAAGGCTGCTGAAGCCCTCCAGACCTTCTGCGACGCTATGGAGAAGGAAGTTTTTCCCCCACTGATGGAAGGGGAAAAATTCCTCCAAGAGCACCTGGGGGTGGACATCTCCAAGTTCAAGGCTGCTATCGAGAGCCGAATCCAAGGAGCTGCTGCACAAGCTGAAGTGCAGCATCAGCTAGAATCTCTTGAAGCCAGCAGAATGGCTGCTGAAGAGATGCTCCAAGCTAGGGATGTCCAACTCTCAAGGGCTGCTGCTGCTGCTGAAGCTCAAAGAGCTAAGCTACAAGAGGCTGAGGATCAGCTCACTGCCAAGAAGGAAGAAATGGTCCAAGTTCAGGCCGAGGCTTCCCGGGTTCAGCAAGAGTTTACCGAGCTGAAAGGCTCCTCCTCCAAGCTCGTCGATGAGCTGAAGAGATCCGAGGAAGACTTGGAGGAGACGAAGAAGAAGTTGGCCAATGCTGAGGCTCTACTCAAAGTCCGTATCTATACCCAAGAAGAGTATGAAATGGGTTTTAGAAACGGGTTCAGAGTGTGCCGAAGGGTCTGCCTTCATGCTGAGCCGAAGCTGGACTGGTCCAAATGTGCTGAATGGGTCCAAGATCCCGAAGACCCTCACATGAAGTATGCCACTCCAATCGAAGCTGAAATCCTTAAGGCTGAGGAAGCCGAGGAAGAAGCTGAGAGGATGGAGTTGGAGGCTGAGCAGAGGGAAAGGGAGGCTCGGCAGAGTGCAAAGCCTGCTTCTTCTGCTGCTGGAGCTGAGACCACCATTGGGCCCAATGAAGCTGATCAGTCTGATCCTCAGGCTGAAGCATAGGAACTCGGGCAGTCGTCTTCAGAATCTTGCGGTTCATCATGCGCTCAACTTTAGACTTGCCGCTTTCTGAATTTTTGCCTTTTGTTTTTTTTTGCTTCAGCTTGCCTTATCGTACAACAGCTTATTATATTTTTATTTTGCCTGTACGTATTTCGGCAGCTGTTACTTTCCGCTTGTGGGCGGCTGCCGACTATTTTTGTAATTCAACATTTTTATTTCAAAGAAGTTCACTTTCTCAGCTTTCTTGTGTATTTTTTTTTCTTCGCTTTACCAGTCTTCGCACTTTACTGCTTTCTTTGAATGATCTTTCAAATATTTGCTAAGTGCAGAACTTCGGCTAGCGAGAATCATTTCTGCTGAGACTTCTTTTTGCCGTTTGTACTCGGATGTTTTCAACTTGTGAAAAAACTGACATAAGTATCAAACTTCGGCTGAGCTGAAGGGTATTAGATCAGTTGTGCCATTTCTCTATTTCCCTCTGCCCCCCAGAAATCTGAAGATGAGGTCTTCTGAATTCTGGAATGGCTGATAATTTTTCTCGGCTAAGCCGAGGATCTTTGAACACTTTGCTTTATTTTCTACATCTGTTTTTAAAGTAC